AAGATATTTTGCATCTGTCTTTACGTTTGATTATACAAGTGTTTTCTCAAAGGTAAGCATGAAGGGGAATGGAAGGGCTGGATGAAGTCAGGAAAATGACAATCGCCGGAGAAATGGTACAGATTAAATATTTGGAGCTATAGGTTGACAAGTGTCAGGTCCTGATGGACTTCATCCGAAGATCTTAAAAGAAGTGGCTAGTAACACAGCTAATGCATTAATTTTAATTTTCCAAAATGTCTCTCAATTTGGGAATATCAGTTTATCATGAAACATAGAGCCAATCGTGACAGGAGCTATTATAAAATATGTTATTACAGAACACTTGAATCATTTCAAGTTAATCAGGCAAAGTCAATGTAGTAAGACAAGTCATGTTTGATCAATCTATTGGAGATAATTGAGAAGGTAACAAATGCTGTGGATAAAAGGGAACCATTGAATGTATAGTACTTAGATTTCTAGCAAGCATTTGATAAATTACCACATTAAAGGTTATCATGGAAAGTAAAAACTCATGATGTATTAAATATTGGCATAGAAGATCAGTTATCTAACAGGAAACAGAGACAAGGTGTAAATGAGTCCTTGTTAGGTTGGTAAGATGTAACACGTGGTTAGCCTTAGGAGTCAATGCTGGGACCTCAACTGTTTATAATTAATGTAAATTACTTAGATAAAAAGATGGAAAGTATGGTTGTCAAATTTGCTAGTGAACACAAAGATAGGTAGAAAAATAAGTTGTGAAGGGGATGCAATGGTGGCGGGGATTACAAAAATATATTAATAGGTTACATGAACGGGCAAAGATCTGGAAAATGGGGTGTAATGTGGGAAAATGTGAAGGTGTATATTTTGGAGGAAGAATAAAAAAGGATATTATCTAAGTAGTGAGAGATTGCAGAGGGATCTGGGTGTTCTCCTGCATAAACTGCAAAAAGTTAGTTTGCAGATACAGTAAGCAATTCAGAAAGCTAATAGAACGTTAACATTTATCATGTGAGAAATTGAATACAAAAGTAGTGACGTTATACTTCAGTTATACAAGTCACTGGTGAGATACATCTGGAAAGAGTGCACAATATTGGTTACATTAATTAAGGAGGATGTAAATATGTTAGAGGCAGTTCAAAGAAAGTTTACTAGACTAGTACCTGGAAAAAGCAGGTTGTTTTATGAAGAATGGTTGGGCAGGTTTGGTTTGTATCCTCTAGAGTTTAGTGTAAGACATGACCTCATTGAAAAATGTAAATTCTCCAATGGTCTTGATGGAGTGAAATTGGAGAGGATGTTTCTTCTTATTCGAGAGTCTAGAATGAGATTTTACTGGGTCATCCAGTTATAGCAGAAATTCAGTGATTTTCTTTTCTCTCTCAGAGAGTTATTTTCTCTCATGAGTTTTTGGAACTGAAAAACATTGGTGGAAATAGACTTCTTAAATATCTTAGGACAGATAATTTCTTATTAAACATGGGGTTGAAAGGTTTTCAAGGGTAGTTTGAAAATGGTATTGTAGCTAGATTAGGATTGGCCATAATTTTCTTCAATGGTGGAACAGGCTCGAGGGGCTGGATTCATATGTTTGTATGAACAGATTGCTTTTTTTGGCCATTTCAGAAGACAATTAAGAGTTAACCACATCACTACTTGTTTGGAGTCACACGTAGGCCTGATCAGGTAAGGAAGGCAGATTTCCTTTCCCAAGGGATAACAGTGAATCAGATTAATTTTTACGATGATCTGCAATGGCTACATGGTCACCATTGTACTTATAACTTTTAATTCCAGATTTTATTGATTTCAAATTTCACTAGCTGCCATGGTGAGATTTTAATCCATCCCCCCAGTGCCCTAGCCTGGTTCCCTGGATTGCCAGGCCCAGTGACAAGAGCACAACACCACTACCTCCCTCTTCCTGCTGTCAAGCCAAAAATACATTCTGCCTATTACACAAATGAATAATGTAATCTACAAATTTCAGCTCCAGTGTGATTCCAACTACATCAACCATACATCACAAAGACTGGCAGATTTTACCAAAAAGCCTTTGGCAACTAGCAACATAATGACTGTACCCAACCAGCTCCTGCTTGCAAAACTCTCAACTCAGCGTCTAACCTTAGATGTGATTCTGCAATTGGACAACATTTTCTGGGTAATTTTGAATATATGAGGAATTGTGCTGACAACCATTTTAAAATTGTCAGTTTGGTGTGCAATGTGGCAAATTGCTGTGTGCTGGATATGCCTTACATTAAGATATAGGGCCTTGTTCTTCAAAGGCAGAAAGAACACAGAGACACTAAACCAGTTTAAACTCAAAAGAATTGCAGGTTCATTTCTCAGGGCATTGTCCGGATGAGTCAGAGACAACCTCCCTGGATTAATATATAAACAAAGCCTGGCTATTAACTGTCATGCAGCATTAATGGCTGCATTCTCCATGGCAACATCTATATCAATCAGATGCCACATTTTAAAAATTAATTCATGGGAAGTTGGTATCGCTGACTGGTGCAGCCTTTGTTGTCTAGGTTTGATAACGTGCTGGTGCACCGCCTTCTTGAATTTGGTTTAGGTAGGCCCATGGTGCTGTTAAGGATATTGACCCAGTGACACTGAAGGAACTCCGATATATTTCCGAGTCAGGATGGTGAGTAGCTTGGAGGGGAATTTGCAGGTGGTAGTGTATCTGTTGCCCTTGTTCTTTTAGATGATAGTGATTTTGCAGTTGGTTTTGAAGTTGCAGCTGGAGGAGTCTTGGACAGTTGCTGCAGTTTACCTTTTTGATGTCGTTAATAAGGGCCAGTGGGAAAGGGAATGAATGTTTGTTGATGTGGTGGCTGTCAAATGGGCTGCTTTGAACTGGATGGTGTCAAGCTCCACATGCCAATCTATCAGCACTTTCCTCTTATGCAGTAGAAATGTTGGTTTTCCTTCTGAATTTGTATTCTTGTTTAATGGCCTGATGAGTGCAAGATGAAAAACTTTGACCAAATGTATCTTTTTTACAGCAGAACTCAAGTTTTGTATTGCCAAAAACTATTTGTATACAACATGCCCTGTTCTATGTTATTGATTGACTTATGTTACCTTATCAAGGAACTAAACTCAGCTGTTTAGACATGATTTGCCTGAAACAAATCCATGCTGTGTCTTTATAACGAAACTTAATTTTGTTCCACTGCTAGATTCCACTAATTCCCAACTGTCAATGTTGGGTTGACAGGTTTATTTTGCTTCCCTCTCTTGAACAATAGTATAATCCTCCAGTATGCCAGTAAGGTAAAGTCACCATAGTCTCATTAGCAAGGTGGGGTGAGCGTGACAGCCCTTGACATCAAGCCTGAATTTGACCGAGCTTGGCATCAAGGAACCCAGCAAAACTGGAATCAACAGGTTTCGGGGCAAATTCTCTGCTGGTTGGAGTCATACCTGGCACCTAGGAAGATGGTCATGGTTGTTGGACATCAGTCATCTCAGTTGCAGGACTTCTCTGCGGGAGTTCCTCAGTGTAGTGTCCTAGCTCCAATATCTGCAGCTGTTTATACATGACCTTCCCTCCATTATAAGGTCAGAAGTAAGAATGTTTGCTGATGATTATATAATGTTCAGCACCATTTGCGAATCCTCAGATACTGAAGCAGTCCATGTTCAAATGCAACAAGATCTGGACAATATCTAGGCTTGGGCTGACAAGTGGCAAGTAACATTTGTGCCACACAAATGCCAGGCTATGACTATCACCAATAAGAGGCAATCTAGCCAGTGAACTCTTTATATTCAATGATATTACCATTGCTGTATCCTCCAATATCAACATTCTTGGGGTTCCTGTTGACCAGTAACTCAACTGGACTCATGACATAAACACAACAGCTACAAGAACAGGTCAGAAGCTAGGAATACTGCGGTGAGTAACTTACCTCCTGACTCTCCTGAGCCTGTCCATCATCTACAAGGCATAAGTCAGGAGTGTGATGGAATACTCCCCACTTGTCTGCATGGGTGAGCTTCAACAACACTCAAGAGGTTTGACACCACCCAGGACAAAGTAGCCAACTTGATTGGCACCACATCCACAAAGTTACACTCCCTTCACCACCGACTGTCAGTATTAGCAGTGTATATTATCTACAGATACACGCAGAAGTTCACCAGAATTCCTCAGATAGCATCTTCCAAACCCTTGACCACTTCCATATTGAAGGACAAGGACAGCAGACACATGGGAACACTATCACCTGCAAGTTCCCGTCCAAGCCACTCACCATCCTGACTTGGAAATATATCACTTTTCCTTCACTGTTGCTGGGTTATAAGCCTGGAATTCCCTCCCTAAGGGCATTGTTGGTCAACCCACAGCTGATGGACTGCAGTGGTTCCAGAAGGCAGCTCGCCACCACCTTCTCAAGGGGCAACTAGGATGGGCAATAAATGCCAGTGAGTCCTACATCCCATGAATAAATAAAACAAAATTAGAGAGAGGTTTAACATGAAGGCCACTAGGCCTCAGATGAGGAGCAAGGCTTGATAACCTGAGCCAATGCAATAGTTGAGCCATGCTATTAACATCACTCTATATCATTAGCTGTCTAGGAAACTGAGTTAACTGATCACAGTATTCCAGTAATGGTCCTGTATCCATTGAGGATTTGAAAACTATAACCAATGCTCTGCTACTTCTATACTTGTTAATTTTAGAAATGCCAAGCATTTTAGAAAATCTTCTCCAAATTCCTCATCTATCACTTTCTCACTGTTTTCAGTTCTATTAAAATAAATATATCAGCTTGCTCGTCTGAGTGACTTTCTGATGCATATTTCCAAGAGCTGCCTCATCCTACACATTAACTTGGATAGTCTACTCTAAACTTGTTTTCTTTATAGTTTAAAGCATTAATGCCATCCTATTACAAATTTGAATGTTCTAGGAAGTGAGACTTAAAGTTGTGAAATGTGCCTGTGAGCTGCTGCCTTAACATTTTCTCCACTGACAGTGACAACATCTTCAATGAAAGTCAAGGCTCCAATCAAAATGCCAAGCGGTTTATCATTGTAGTGACAGATGGAGAAATATTCAGGGATGAGAGAAATCTAACAGATGTAATCAACTCAGATAAAATGGCAAATATAACACGGATAGCTGTTGGGGTAAGTTTATTAACAATTCTTGGTATAGCCTCGGTAAGTGTTAGAGATTTATCAGTCCTGTGCTATTTCCTGTGTTGTTAAAGCCTCCATTGGATGGCCAACTTGCCATATTCTCCATCTGCAAAAAATGATTTTAGTGCAACCTCAAAATATGCCCTCCTGTATGAGAGTATGAGTACTAAAGATACTGTCCTAATAAGCAGATGATACATTGGTATCTGACAGATGATCCAAGGGCCTCTTTGAAGGCTTTTGAGATATTGTACATAAAAACAACAGAAGCAATGTGGACACTTCTGTTCTTGATTGAAGTTTGACAGGTTTCCTTTCCTAAAGATTTGTTTGAATCAGTCATTTTTGACTAGATCCTTCAGAGCTTCTACATTTTTTTGTTGGTTGGAAGACAGTTTGATGGTCATAATTAAACTAAATAGTTAAATGCTCAGTCCAACAGTTGTTAGCTATAATCATTACTTTGGTGCTGTGGTTGGTTGTCTCGCCGAGCTGGTTCGTTAGTTAACAGAAGTTTCATTATCCTGCTGGGTAACATCATCAGTGCAGCCTCCGATGAAACGCTGTTGTGTTTTCCCACCTGGTATTTAAACTCTGGGGTTTGTTTCCGGTTTTTCTTCGCAGTGGTGTATATAAAGGGTCTAATTCTACGTGTTTATTGATGGCATTCTTGGTGGAGAACCAGGCCTCTAGAAATTCCCGTGCTTGTCTCTGTTTGGCCTGTCCTATGATCCAGATGTTGTCCCAATTGAACCGATGATTCTCCTTATCTATGTGGATGGAGATGAAACATCCACAACCCGAGCTACAAATCTACTCCAGAACCTTAGATATTTCTACGGTGATGAAGACATCTTTGTGATTCTGGACATGGACAAACATGTAACCATTCAAGTGTTAGTGTATGGACCATGGGTGTTTCCATGATGTTTTGTATTTAATCTTCTGGTAGAACAGGATATTGGTGATGATGACCATATTCTGTAAGGAGAAGAATACATTTGGAGTCAACATTTCCAATTTCTTAACCCCTAGTGAAATCTCCAAGGGGTATAAGCCTGTCTTTCTTTGGAACCCCATAGACAGCTTGATCAAGTTTGATTTGGAGGTGCTGGGGTTGGACTGGGGTGGACAAAATCAGAAGTCACATAACACCAGGTTATAGACCAACAAGCTTATTTGAAAACACATGCTTTCAGAACGCTGCTTCTTCATCAAATGAAGCCTTGTGATTTCACATAAACCTATTGAACTATGGCCTGGTGTCATGTGACTTCTGACTTTGATGAAGTTTGGCATAGACATCTTCCTTGGTTCTGCACTTATGCAGCTGTGATATCTACCCTACAGTACAGGAGTGTAATATGGACAACATAAAAAGTTTCCTTAAAGCACTGGTGTTGGAAACATCAATGGTGTCTGTGGAAGATAGTACATATGAAATGGGAGGAGAAGTGCACCAAAGCAGTGACCTCTTTCAGATACTACTTCATCAATGCTTGATCATTCACCATTACCTTTGTTGGATTACATACAGTTCAGATGTCAGATAGCACGTTCCCAATAAAAGCCTTCTTCTCCAGAGAAGGACAGAAGAAGTGCTTCAAGGATCTATTGAAAGTCAAAATGAAGATATGTAATGTTGACGTCAGATCCTGGAAGACCATCGCCCTGAACTAGATGGGCGCAGAGTTTATGAAGATGATTTGAGACCAAATGGCAACAAATTGAACAGGAAACGTGATAGTGAAGAAAAGAACAAGTCATGACCCAAGCTAATAATGGACATCTCACATGAAAACAAATGCCTAACATGCCATAAAGTTTGTACATTCTAAACTGATCTCATCAGCTATCTTTGGTGACTTGGAAGGCAATAACCTTGCTTGCAAAGAATAGCCAATAACATTAGGGAAAATAGGTAGCCCAGAAGCAAAACCTTCACCACCTGTGGGAATAGACAATAACTAACATTTAAGAGAAAAAGACTTACATCTGTAAAAGACATTTTCCAACATCAAGATTGCTCAAAGTACTTCATAACAAATGAATATTATTTTGAAGTGTCATGTAGGAAATACAGCAGCCACTTTGTGCACAGCAAGCTCCAATCAGGAATGCAGTAATGACAAGATCATCTGTTTTTCTGCTATTCTTTGAGGAATATGTTTGACCTGAATATCAGGGATAATGATCCCGCTCTATTCAAAATAGTGGATCGGGATCTTTAATTTCATCACAAAGGGCAGTCAAAATCTTGTCTTAACATAAAGATAGAGTCATACAGCACAGGAGAGGCCCTTCAGCCCATCGAGTCTGTGATGACCTATCTACATTAATCCCACTCTCCAGCACTCGGCCTATAGCCTTGACTGCTATGATATTTCAAGTGCTCGTACATGTAGTTTTTAAAGGTTTGAATTTCCCTCCTCCACTACACTCTCAGGCAGTGTGTTCCAGATTCCCACCACCCTCTGGGAAAAAAGGTTTTGCTCACATTGCCTCTAAACCTCCTGTCCTTCACCTTAAAATTATTCCCTCTCTGTATTGATCTTTCAACAGGTTTGGCTTTAACTTCTGAGACCAAGTCCAGGAGTGAGGTTTTTAATTAATTCATTCACAAGATGTGGGTAATACTGGCTAGGTCAGCATTTGTTGCCCATTCACAATTTCCCAGAGGGCAGTTAAGACCCCATTGTAAGTGGGCCTAGAGTCATGTGCAGGCCAGACCATGTAAGGATGGCAGTTTCCTTCCTTAAAGAACATTAGAGAACCATATTTTA